AGTTTATAATCATACAGTTGGGTTAACATACAATCCTAAATCGTTATGAGACACTTTCCTTTTATTACCAAAATAAATGTATTACAGTTTCAGAGAAGTTGAAAATAACAAAATGCAAGTTCATAAATTAGTGATATAAAAACGACATCAATTTTGAGGTTTAAATGACAGTGCTTGAAAGATGAGATGAGTGACTTTCAAGTTGTGCGGGTGAAAATGAAACTTGCAGTGCATTGTGGTCTTATAACATTTTGTTTCTGCTTCAGTGAAAATGCAATTCTAATAAATACTATTGAAGGGACCTTTCTCTTTAGATGGCTGATACAACAATTATGTAACAAAGAACACAATAGTTTTAATGGGAAATTAGAATTACATGTTTTACACGGTGGCACAATGTTTAGATGTCTCAGGAAAAGAGCAAAAAAGGGATAACACTCAGTTGTGTGGTACGTGTATTAGTGCTGCAGTAAAAACTGCTGTTGTTTTTGATTGTCACTCCGAATAGAGATAGAACTTCTCAGATCTAGATTAAAGAGACACAGACATCATTTACAATGTAGTCTCCTTCTGCTAAACAAATATATGAAAATAATCTTTAGTGTAGGGTCGAACATTTTTGGCAGGAATGGTGAAATTATAAAGTTATCTACCCTGGTGTCTGGTTTTCAGAATATTTCAATAAATAAATATGAATGGGAGACAGTAATTGGAATAGTGGTTTGCAAATCTATAGTGTTCAAGTTAAAGATTACCAATAACTAGAAAAGTGTTATACAAAACAATTTTATCATAATTGAATTACATCACAATAATTTTTTCTCTCACACAACAAGCATGGTAAAATCTAACCAAGGTAACCATCACCATGGTAACATCCCAAGGCAACCATCACCATGGTAATATCCTTGAGGCAATCGTCATCTCTGTCTATGTTTCTTTACAGCTGTCTTGTTGACCTATCTTAATGCCAAGTGATTCCAATAACTTTCTTCTTTCTGCAGGCAGTGTGTTAAAGTAAACTTTCTGTTCATCTGAATATTTCTCTACTACAGGAATGATATCTCTGAATGAATTGTCTGCCCAGTGGTAGGTGAACTTCTCCAACACTTGTATTCTTAATTCATCACCCTGGATACAGTCTACTGGCTCTTTTTTCTCCAGCTCAATTTTTTGAATATCTTTGAAAATGATGACTCCACGGAAACCAAACCAACCTCCAAACAATGGATGTACGCTCACACCAAATATCTTCTGAAAATAAAAAAAAAAACGTAAATAAAAATTTGGCCAAATTGTCAGTAAACCATCAACAACTGAGTTAAGTGAGGTATTTTGTGCCTAATTTCCCTCAAGTAAAGATGCCAAGCACCTCCCCTTTTTCCATAGCGTTATTGTTATACATACATGAATGGGGAAATGAATACAAACTGTAATATTTATTTTATACCTGATCTTTCTCCCAAGGATCATTTTTTACATCTTTTCTTTGATAGTAATATGCAGCACCAGCAACATGTCCTGCTGTTTGTACAAGTATTTTAGGACGTCTATTGGCATGCAAGTCATAGTCATGTATAACCTCTATGTCATGGTCAGGAAATGCCTAGAACAAAAAAACAGTTTGAATTATTATCTCAAATACACACTAAACTAGCAGTAGTATCAAGGTGAGTAATACCAACTAGCAGTAGTGTCAGGTTATTAATACATGTTTCAACTACCAGTACTAAGGTTAGTAATACAAAGTAACAGTATTATCACGTTATAATACCTACTAGTATCAGGTTTGTAACACTAACTAACCGTATTATATGGTTGGTATTAAATACGAATCACAACCAACAGTAGTATCTGGTTAATATACATATCACAGTATCACGTTTAACATTAATGGTACCAGATCAATAAAAATATCAACCAGCAGTAACATATCAGCAGCACTCACAATTTATGATATTAACAATCAAGTTAATAGTAGTGTTAACTAACACTATTTCAAATATATTAGATTATTAACTAGCAGTAAATTTGAGACAATAATATTTTCAGCAATTGAGTGCACTTGTGTAATTTTTCTAGACACATACAAATAATCTAACCATAAACTCCAGATCAAAAACAGATCTCATCGAAATGAAAGTACAGACCTCTTTGACCTTCTGGTAGTACAAATCAATACACTGATCAACTGGATCCCTGGCATCTTCGGCATTCAGTCGACATACGTACGGCACAAACGCTTTTTCAAACATGCCAGGTGTGCTGACAATGATATAAGCCAGGGTGTCATCAGGATAATCCAGCTTGAATATTGGATCTACAATTTCATTGTACCAGCCAATCTGAAAAAAAAAATGTCATGTTCAACAATCACTGCAGGTTGCCAGGACAAAAGACATTATATTGTAAACCGCTTTACTTAATTTTGCAACGCAGTGAAAATCATGGAAGTTGTAGTAGCTAATTTTTCTGGGGTCAGTGACTTTCACAAAATTTGTCATGAATGTCATAAAATTGTGAAAACTCCTAACTGTAAAAATAACATTTTTTAGTAAATCACAGGGTACAACAAAAACATTAAAGCGAGAGAGTCGTCACCTGCGCATGTGTCAAATGGCCATAGCATGTCATTGTTTACAAACAAGCGTCTACCCATGAGCCTTTGCATTTTTAGCGTGTGTTGTAATCGTCAATTGGAACTCAATTCCTGCGCGTGACCCATCCGCTTTAAAGAGAAGAATGTAGGTTCCTTAAAAAAAATTTTGAAGAGGTTTTGACCAAATACTTTTGCTGTTTTTTGTGTGTTAGGTCTTAATACCATAAATTGGTGAT